TTCAGTGTCCTCTATTTTTTATCTGCTAACTTTCCGTAGCAGATCATTTTTTTCGATCGGTGTTTTTTTTATAAAATCACCAGAACTATCATTAAAAACTATCAGGAACTATAGAACTCGACTGCATGCGACAAGAACTCTCTTTTATTTTTGATCTGCTAAAAAATGATCTGCTACGGGAAGTTAGCAGATCATTTTTTCGATTGGTGTTTTTTTGGATAAAATCACCAGAACTATTACTAAAAACTATAAGGAACTATAGAACTCGACTGCATGCGACAAGAACTTTCTTTTATTTTTGATCTGCTGGAAAATGATATGCTAGGTTCACGAACATACAGACGAGTTCATTTCTATGACGGTGTAACGATAACGCGTAGGAATTCCTCGTTGTAAAAATAACAGATAACGACTAGTAATCGTACTGGACTTGGTTTTATTTTGTTGGAAAACTTATTATCGCACAAATCTAATATCACTTAATATTACGCGAATTTCGAGGACAGACCGACTGATTATTGCATTTCGGAAGCAATTATCGTCCGAAAAAACTTTCAAGCGCCATCGATCAAAATGCTAATCGAACGTTAGCGTTGGAGTGTAACAAACACAGGCTTTAAGTGGTAATACGTAATCGGCGAATAACACCCACATAATGCGCGCTTATGAGCTCGGCGCTATTGCATGTCACAGATCGCAATTCCGTGAGCTAATGTCTTTAGCCCTTTCATCCGGCCTTGTGATTTACGTGTGCCCAAACCGCGTGCCGGTTAATGCGACAAAACGTGTGTGCACTGTTACGCGAAATCAATACATTAGCGATGTAATGTATCCGCGCCAATTATTCGCCGCCATAATCGAGCATTCCGCAATCGATATTATCGGCTGCGAATAATTTGCGGAGCCGGCGCCAGATGCGGGAAGACGCTTGTTGTGGTGATTTCAGAATCGATTATTGCAAGATGTCGATTAATCCTAACATCGCCGCAATCTCGCCGCTGATGGTCGCGTTTATTAGCCATCCGGGAATTGTCTCGCGCTAGAAGGAACGCACGTTTAATCTGAAACGCGCGCGTACGCTCGCCCAAAGCTATGCTCGCACCACTTGCAATTAATTTGATGAATTTGGTTTGGTTATTTCGTGCCCCAAATTCACGGATTTACGGATGGCCACCCCTCCTGTTCCGATTGCCAGCCGACCTTATTTAGCGCGGGATGAATTTAATTTAATTTGTTTGATTCGCATTTAAATTAAATGGACGGTAATTTATTCCAATTAAATGTGTTGCACGACTATTATGACCCCGACTTTGCCCGCGTATCTCTGTTGATAAGTCATTTTCCGTTGAATACTATTGAGAAAATATCTGCGCGAGACCGATGACGTGAGTGCAAGAAAAGGCATGTCGCGCTGTCAACCGGTTAATTAAATGCGCAATAAATGTTTTATTAACCCGAGTTTAACAAGCTGCTATATCGGCAGTGCATATTGCACTTCGTAGATGCGTGGGCGAATGAACTTTGCACTTTTGCTTGTTGGTTCTTGATATTTTATATTTTAACGAGAAGCCGCAAGACCGACCCTTAATGTTAGTTTATCGGATAAGCCATATCAAAAAGCATCAGATACGATACATGTTTTGCTTTGTTGTTTTCAAATCCTTGCAGGAAACAAAAAGATTTATACTATCTTAATTAATTTTATTAACATAAAAGCAAGAAAGAAAAGAAAATGTATATTCAAGAATATCCAGGATGGAGAAGTGTAAGAAAGTTTGTTGTGTCGAACAATCTCACAATTTTTTACGTGATTATCTTTATAATACACAACGGGAAGTCTTAATCGCGTAAAAACCTAGCAAGAAATCTCTCAGTCGTCATATAATCGATTTGCGTCGAATAATAGAGACGTCAGAAAATGTGATAAAATGTACACGTCGAGGAATCCAGTGTGTTAAAAGTAAAAAAAAAAAAACCGGAATCCGTGAAATCCATTAAACTGTTTCCGATATCCATTCTCGCGCTGTCACTTTACCCTGAGGTTTCGCTTTGTACACATTTTATATATACAGGTGTTTCACAGCGCTTGAAGTGTTATATGCATATGTTGTTGGACTGTTTTGTACTTGCGTGGACGTTCTTTTGCCCTGATACATCGATCACTCTCTGCATATGTTTTATCGAAACGCAATAACATCCCTATAGCAACAACAGACGTAGTTATTGTCGTGCCTAAGGCTTTTTAAAAAGCCAGTTATATTTGAACTGAAATTGCAGCCTCCGGAAATACTGCTGCAATCTGTATTAAATATTGAATTTGAAAGTAGAGTATGAAGAAAATAATAAGTTATTGATATCACTATTTTTGTTATTACTAAAAATATAATCTACATGCAACAAAAAAAATAAATTATAAGAATTGTCGCATACACATCGGAAGAAACTTATCTCAATTGCTTTGGCACGATATTATTCAAATCACATCCGAAACTTTAATTAGCGCATTAACACCGTCTTGCATTTCATTACGACTTCAATTGTGATTATACTGGTTTCAATCAGTTGAGGTGAACAACGGCGAAGCGTGGACGTTTCAATTAAGTCAAGCGGCCGTTGTTTTTCACAAATATGCGCTATTTGCGAAAACAAGCGCAGTGTTTTTTTGCATGGGATTTTTGTACATAATGCATACGCGGCAAATGCAAAATGCCACGTCTCCCGTCTCATTCGCGCATTTTTCTCGCGCATTTTTATCGCCCGGGCCAGCCGTCCACGTTGTTATAAGTGTATATTTACTGTCGCTTTTACTTCCGTACGGCCGCGCAACGCCAAATGGCAACCTGTGGTTTACGAGCATCCCCCTAAACGCGCACGACGTGCAAATTATGCAAGAGTAAAGCGCGAATTGTCGATGAGGTTCTAGTGTCTGGCGCTTGTCCCGACAGGATTAATATAATCAAATTAATAGTTACAGTCTCTCACTTTAATGCATCTGTCGTTTATATTAATTGCTCTGTTAATATTCAGCGTGTCACGTGTATGTCACAGATGATATTCTGATTTTGCGAAATGGCTGCGGAAACATACCGATCGCGGAATATTCCACATTTTATTGCATCCAATAAAATTATTAAATTAATATTAATAAAACGATATAATATTAACGGAATGTTAATGAAAAACGATACAATAGATTTTTTGAATACAATACATCTTTGTATTTCATTAAAAGCCGGAGCAAAATTGCAATTATGCGTGTTGCATAATAGAGAATGTAGGAAACTATGGAAAATCGGCATGTAATGCCGATGAAATAGTTCTTCCACTCATCAACAGGTGACTCATAGATCCGCCAAGCCAACCTTTTGACGAAATTGGAACTGTGGGCGATTATTGGTCTCGTTGGCGGACAGAGAATGATGACGATGGCGACAGCTAAATTAGTCCCGCAGCCGTCAGTAGTCAATCATCGTTACGCCGTTGAACGCAAAACTTCAAAATTATTTTCACGCGCATAAAATATATGTTTGGTACACACGTGCTCCGAATGAGCGTTCCCGACGGAGATCATCCGCGACCTGGCCGGTTAATTGCATCCACGATAGTCGTAGTCGACATCGTCCTTATCGCGTTCTCTACTAACAGCGGAGGCGGTAGAGTTTTAATTGGAAAAAAAAGTAACTGGAGAAGTGTGCCACTTGCAGCATGATACCGACGCTACTTTGCTCCTTTTTCACGACACTGCTCTCAGAATTTTTCGAAAAGAATCTAGGACTGTCTCGTATGAGAAAAAAAGGATGAGCAGGATGCGGAATTCCCGCGAGAATAAAATTATCTTTTTACACAATTTACAACTTGTGTGAGTTGGAATATTTTTTGTAAAATATATTTCAAATATCTGCAAATATTAATCATTGTATCGAGATAGAAATTAAAATTTTTATAACAATTCAAGGGAATTTATGTGCAGGCGAAAAGCGTAGTTATCGAAGGCGCGGGTGAAGGCATTTTTCTGTATAATATATATGGGTATTCGCACGCACTTCTCTCTTTTCTTTGCTCAATGCGCCGCAAATCGCATTAAACTCGTTTTTCCCGTCACAGCTGCGGCGAAGCCGGCTTGGCGACTCTACTTTTCGCAGCTGTTTCCAGCCGGAACGCGATAAAAAGGGACCCGGCGCCACCCACCGCCGGCATTAACCCGCACTTTGTTGTATATCGCGCCGGGGTTGCCGCTGCCATTGTAGTCCGAAGGAGCTCCAGATGCGAAATGCGCAAAAAGTTGACGCTCGCGCGCGCGCATGTCGTCCGCACGCCCGCGTCCAACGGAGAGATCTCGTCGCTATAAAACCTCGACGCGGTATGAAAATAGTCGGCGGAAAAAAAAGTATCGCTCCCGCGGATTTACATCTCGACAACGTCGATGCCGCAACGATTTTTTCGGTTCTTTTTTTTTTCTCCTACGCGAAACACTTTTTCGCTTCTTTTTCCGTTATCTCTTGGGAGTTGATAGCTCGCGTGTTGCCGCACCGCGCGGGCACTCGTTACTGTTGGTTGAATAAATATACTCAAAAGCCAGATCAACATTGTTTGACGTTGAAAAGTGAAAATGCCTCGACGATATACTGTGTAGTGTGCTTTATGCGATTACGTTTTTCGAAAGTGCTTAAAGTCGAAGCGCTGAAACGAAAATCAAACTCGCACTGAGAGAAATACTTTTGTAAGAATTACAAATTTTCATTTGTTGACTTATGATTTGTTCAGGATACGATAAATTCGCTACCATTACAAACAATGATCCGTTTTTTGTCATTTTAACATATCACATATCGTCTGTGCAACAAATTTCATTTGCTCATCCCTCTTTGTTCTGATTACAAAATTGTTTGACATAGGTACTGACACAGTTAGTAAATTCAACAAATATGTCGATAATAGTTCTTATTGCTAATGCTTTTTGCACCACCAACAAATTAAAATATTCGAATTTGTTGCTGCAGCAAATGAAATGCGCGGACGAAAGTGCGCAGCGATAGCACATGTTTCGGCTTGTCGTAACGGCAAACTTCTAATGTGCGCTCGTTTTCCTTTCGTTTCCACAACTGTGATCAGTAAAATGAGTGGTGAAGAGAAACAAGCCGAACAAGATGCTGTTTCCGAGCGGCTGAGACGTTGGGGTTTGAGTAATCAAGTTGTGCAAGCATTCAAAGGTAAGTCATAATGTTTTCATTTCATGTTATTAGTAACCTTACTTTTTCATTTCTTTGTCTCACTGTTTGTTGCATCATTCTCTAGTTGAATTCTGTACGATCCGAAGAATTACTTAATCCTATTTTCATGTTTTTGACACATAACCTATTTTACTTTAACAAAATAATTACCTCTATTATGATGTAAAAGATTTCACAAAATATGCTAGTCTATTACATTTTTTATTTTATTGATGTATGATGCATTTGTTTGTACACAGAAAAAAAATTAGTATCAAACTAAAATTTATATACTTCAATTAATGCGATCATCATCTCATATAGTATTTGATATTAATTATAATGTGATTATATATGAGAATAAGATTTTTAATCAATTATCTTAGTTAAACATTCACACACAAATCGAGTAATCATAAATATTGTTTAATACTTAATTGCATTATTTACATTAATCATTTATATTATAAAATTTTGAGTATTTAATTATAAATTTTTAGGCAATTATTTTAATTTTAATAAGAAAATTAATCGATTAAATTTCTTATTAAAATAATTGCCTAAAAAGCTATAATATAAATAATCATGATAAATGTAATCAATTAATGCAATTAAGTACATATATGTTTTATATAAGGTATTTAGTTATTTAGTACTGTTATTTAGTACGGTATTTAATTAATTGATTAAATTTTTAATGTTTAATTAAGATAATTAAAAATCTAAATCTTACATATGATCACGTTATGATAAATGCCCAACACTGGTT